TTGGGTAAAGATGTAAAACGGATGTTGGAATTGATGAAGACAGAATTTGATAAAATACAAACTTGGTTTAAACTTAATAAATTATCATTAAATTTAGATAAAACTAAATACATGATATTTAGTAACAAAAAGAGAACTGTTGATGATCCATTTAAAATTGAGGGTGTTGAGATTTGTAGAGTTAATGAGATGAAATTTTTGGGTGTAATCATTGATGAACAGCTAACATGGAAAAATCACATTAATTCTGTAAGAACAAAAATATCTAAATCTATTGCAGTACTTTACAAAGTCAGGGAATTATTAAATGATAAAGCTCTGTACATGTTGTATAACACAATCATTGTTCCACATTTAATCTATTGCATTGATGTTTGGGGGAAAGCGTGTAAAACATTTACAAAACCTATTTTTATTTTACAGAAAAGAGCTGTAAGAATTATCACCAGAAAGCATTACAGTCACCCATCAAGCACATTATTTTATCAACTGAACTTATTGAAGTTCCATGATTTGGTAGATTATAGTATTTTATCAGTTATGTATCGGGCTCAAAATAACACATTACCATTAAATATCCAAAGAAATGTTGTTAAAAGACAAAGTTGCTACAATCTTAAGGGGATAGAAATATTTGTCAAACCAAAATTCAGAACTAGTCTGAAGGGAAGGTCTACCTCAATCCAAGGAGTTGGATTGTGGAATGGTCTAGAGAGTGATGTGAAAAATGCCAAGTCAATGTGTACATTTAAGAAAAAGATCAAAACTGAATTGTTAAAAAAGTATATATGAAGTAGATTAGTGTGTGTTTTGTATTAGAATTAGAAAATTAGAAAGAGTTATTCATTTTGTACTGTTACTTGAAGATTATTATGATTGAAATAATTGTTTTGAAAAAAGGGGCAGATATAATAAGATTTTTTCTTCTTCTGCTGCCTTTCATTTTAAATCTCTTGTATATTTTTTATATTGTTATGGAATTGTTTTGTATTTTTTTAAATGAATAAACTTTATACCATACCATACCATATCATTAGCACCTGATGGCTGTTTACTATTCACAGAGGGCTGAGTGATACTAGCAATCACAGCATTGTAAGAGGGGGACAGTTGAACCCGGAGGCCTCCACCCGTTTAATGATGGACGGTTTCTTTTCACAAAGATGCTAATGATCCATTGTTAGGCTGATGGTCCTTCTTGAGCATGTGATCAGCTGGTTCTGGTTGTCAGCAGCAAACTGGTTGATCCACTCTGAGAAGGTGCTATTTAAGAGACTGAGCTGAATACAGCACCTCAGACTGAGGAAGTCTTTCGGATGAGAGACGAAACGTTTCTACATTTTTGTTGTTGTTTTGCTTTGTTTTGTTTTTTGAATGTCCAGAGGACCAGATTTAACTTTTTAAAAATTTTCTACCTGGATTATAGGCCCTTTTCACATGACGTCAGACAACTTCCTTTTTGACTCGATGCTGTGCATCAGTACTTCCAGGTCTATTCTCCCTCGCTAGACCTGTCTGGAAACTTAACAGAATTTCATTCCTTCAACCTTTATTTACAGAGGTTATATTACAAGATATAGCGCAAGGTAAGGTTAATAAAAACAGTATTTATGTGTTTGTTAGCTGTGGTAACGTTATCCATCATTATCAATTTACCATTCTGTAACTGTGTAAAGAAACAGCTTCCAATTGTAAAGTAAGCTAGCTAGCAGCTAACAGGTAGCTAAACTCTACACCGCTGCTGCCTGTCAGTGCTGTAACATTAAAATGTTTAACTTTATCTATTAATGTAAAATCTCTGACATCTTCCAACACTGTTGTTTAGAATAGCATTTTAAATATTGAATTAAAAACTATATGTCAAACCATTTCCAAATTCTGATGATTAATAATTTCTCTTTTTACTTTCTGCTTGTGTCCATCTTTCTCAGCAGCAGCTCATCTAACCAGCATGACACAGTCATCAAGACGTTGTTAATGCAGTGTGCCATGTTGTTCCAGTAATAAACAAGAAACACCGTATTTGAGTTTCCACAATTTTCCCGTGGACAAAGAAATACGTTCCCGTTGGGTGAGAGTGATCAGGAGAGATGAAGGGCCAACTTTTAAAATCCTTCGTGGGAGCACCCATGCAGTCTGCACTTTGCCCCAGAAGATCTAAATCCATCAGCCAGTGGAAGAACCTGGATCAGACAAGGAGCGGTGCCGTCAAGATTTCACTGGAATGACTGGGGTAAATGGAGGGAGGACAGTGCTGAACATTTGTAAAAATAAACAAAAATGTGTCATGACCATGAAGTGTCTCATGTCCCACCTCTAGGGAGACGCTCACAAGCTCGTGAGTCAGTTTACCTGTGAGCAAGAAGTGTCTCGTGCTGCTGGCCAGGATGACTCCTAGGAACTGTACCCGCGAACTGTACAGAGGAGGCATCGCCTGCAGGTGCAGTGGCAACAGATCACAACTCTGCCTGCCATCCTTCTCTGGGTTAGTATTGCAGAAAATGTGTCTTGTAGTAAAATATATGGCAGTGAATAACACTGTAACCATCTTGTGGTTGTATTCAGAACATTTTGGACTTGCTAATAGTTGAGAGACTGTCAGTAAATGCGTGAAATGATTTGAATGAGGAGCAGCGTCATACTTTATGGAAAATATTGAATATTTTGTTTTCCCCTTTGAAAAAAATTACATATATCTTCACCTCAGAACTGTCAAGGCAGTAACGAGTAAGTAATAGAAGAAATACTGTAATACAAAAGATATTTGATAATTGAACAGGAAATTGATGGTTGGATAAGTGATGTATATTAAGATTTATATTTTCTTTTCTCTTAGGTCAACTGGATGATGCCGCACAGAGAATTCAAGAGTTGCAGAGACAAGTTTTATCTCTAGAAATGGAAATCCAGCAGCTGACAATTAAGAAGTGCCCTCCTGTGTGTGTGTGTGTGTGTGTGTGTGTGTGTGTGTGTGTGTGTGTGTGTGTGCGTGTGTGTGTGTGTGTGTGTGTGTGTGTGTATATACATATATATATACATACAAGTTTCTTTACCAACATTGCTCCATGTACAGTGTTCAATAAAATTATTAAATGAATGTTTGCAAGAAGCTGCCACAAACCTTGTTTAATTGTTTCACAACAGAAGCTTTAATTTGAGCATTTCCTCCCCTCCTCCATGTACTACATTACCAGATGTGTAAAATATACAAACAGATGCAATTTAAATGTAAAAGATGTACATATGCAGATTACTGAAGACAAGCCATTAAAAAAAAGTTTTGACAGAATTCTTCACATCAATTCATTCATTAGTAGATTTAAAAAAAAAAAGATAAATATACGGAGAGATTTCCAACACAGCTGCTTGCAGTAATGAATGTTCATCCAAGAAGTGTGACTTGAAGGAGCAGGGAGGCTCTAGACTGGTTTGTCTCTTTTTACATCAAGACGACCCTGATAATTTGACATTAGGCAGCAGCAGATGACCCACAGCTGAATGACTGAACCTCCTGATTGACTTGTACTCCTTCACCCTTCACATGGCCCTCGCTGCTAAAATCCTCAGATGAGCCTGGGTCTTCAGGGTCTTCTGGGTCTTCAGGGTCTTCTGGGTCTTCAGGATGTCTTCCTTGCTGAGTTACTGCTGCTGAGAAAGATGGACACAAGAAGAAAGTAAAAAGAGAAATTATTAATCATCAGAACATGAAAATGGTTTGACATAGTGTTTAATTCAATATTTAAAATGCTATTCTAAACAGTGTTGGAAGATGTCAGAGATTTTACATTAATAGATAAAGTTAAACATTTTAATGTTACAGCACTGACAGGCAGCAGCAGTGTAGAGTTTAGCTACCTGTTAGCTGCTAGCTAGCTTACTTTACAATTGGAGGCTGTTTCCTTACACAGTTACAGAATGGTAAATTGATAATGATGGATAACGTTACCACAGCTAACTAACACATAAATACTGTTTTTATTAACGTTAATATAGCTTGTAAACCTTTAAACATTAGAGCACTGACAGCCCGTGTTGTATATTTTAGCTACTGTGGCTAAAGTTGCTGCAATGATGGATAACATTACCACAGCTAACAAACACATAAATACTGTTTTTATTAACCTTACCTTGTGCTATATCTTGTAATATAACCTCTGTAAATAAAGGTTGAAGGAATGAAATTCTGTTAAGTTTCCAGACAGGTCTCCCGAGGGAGAATAGACCCAGAAGTACTGATCCACAGCATTGAGTCAAAAAGGAAGTTGTCTGACGTCATGTGAAAAGGGCCTATTGAGCATGCATCAGGAAAAATGTCATAAGTTCACCCCCAAGTAAAGGGGTAGTTCCGTCAACTTTAAGTGATGTTCCATCAAATATTCACTACCTTATCAGCTGTGACAATAATCGTAGAGCACATAGTATGGAGAAAGAAGCAAAAGTTATTGTTCATTTCAGGCATAATTTCATTCCACCTCATGTACCACATATGATGAGAATGACAATAAAATTGACTTGACTTGATATTTATTGAATACTACATTAGCAAACATGAAACTTCTACACTTTTGCAAGACACCATTTGTTAAAATTCTCACTGTTTACTCAATTGAATGACATTCGTGCTACTGAGCAAACGTATGTGTGGAGTGCATATGTGTACGTGCCGATGGTGCAGAGGCTGCATCATTCTGCCAGGAATTGGGTAAACCTTTGCAGACCAATCACACAAGATGTGATATAAAACAAGTTTTGATTATAACATGTATAATATATTGTGTGTTAGAGGTGATAAGAGGTTTGGGGGATTCATGACCATTTGTCCAAACTTAAGTTAACACATTAACTTTATTGTTTGTTTGTTTTTTAAATCAAACCAATGACAAATGAATGATCAATCAGCCCATTTTGATTATTTTAGAATTGACTTTGATTTAAGACAAGGATGAGAAAGAAACAAACTTTACTTCTTCTTTTTTTTATTCTCCCATCCCCCACTTTAGGTATCCAGCCAACCACTTTGGTACACTTACTGGTTTTCAGTCAACCATCAGTGCAGCATTCGCCTTACTCCAACAGCTTTTGTTCATATTGATGGTGGGACATCTACGTGGAGACCCTTACTGGGTAAGGAGCACATATTCAAGTACACCTGCCAAAAAATTGATGTGGGGGATGCACAATGTTCTTGTCATATCATATTGTTAATATGGACCAATAAATGCTTTGAGGAGAAACAACATGGACCACAATGTGCACATAAAAGTCAAATCTGGACTGGTTCTGAATGACTTCAGGTTGCTAAAATATCACCTAGACTTGTTAAAGAAGAATAAAGTCTACAGTTTTGCTTGAAATATTCGTACACGTTTGTGTTTTCAAAGTAAATTATTTTCCAAAGAGGTTCTAAGTTTGATGCATCCCAATAAAAGTAAAAACTATTTTTAAGTTCCATCAAAAGATGCCTGATGATCATACATCTCTCCTGATATACAGTAGATGGTTTGGAATTAGTTGAAAAAGTGCATTGCATTTGAGCAAAACTAAAATGTTGTGGGTCCTCAGAGTTCCACATCCACAATGCTCAGCAGTCGTGATGTGAACTAACATGTGTCTTCTTACCACAGATCAATGTGGGCCTTCTCATCTTCTCCATGACTGGCTTCCTGTTGCCAATTTATCTCTTCTACCACCGTAGAAATCTCATCAGAGAAAATGCACATGAAGATCTGATCGCTGAACAAACAAAAATAGATAACTTTCCTCTAACACAGACACCAAATGGACAAACTTTTTAAGTGTGTCCACAGGGGTGGCTGAGTAATTAGAGCAGTCATCCTCCAATGAGACTTGGGGTTTGATTCTATCAGCAGTCACAGGTTAAAGCGTCCATGGGCAAGATACTGATCACCTCATTGCCTCTGATGTGTCCCCCATCGGTGTATGAATGTGATCTAGTCTCTCTAGAATGATTTACACAAATTGTCTTTGTAGAGATGTAGGAGTGCTGTGTGAATGTGTGGGTCAATGAGGACACAGGTCATGCTGTAAAGTATTCTGGTTGGATAGAAAAGCACTATATACTGTAAGTACAGTCCATTTACCATGGAAGCAGACAATTTAAAGTATATTAGTATTTTTTATGTACGTTTGTGAGTCCAGAATATGTTGAACAGTCCAGAAGTTTTTTTGGGACGAGGCATTTTGAAAATTAGAACAGCATGTATGTTGTTCACAGACAGTTGGTTGAAAATGAATGAATGAAAAAAGCAACATCTGCCCTGGAATCAACAATAAAAGACTTCCTTTTTGGAGACAAATCTAATGCATGTTGTAAAAAAGTAAATGACAAGTGTTCAGTGTGTTTTTCCCCCCTTCTCCTTTTTAGTTTTCTTTTTTTTATGTGAACATGATGTTACCTCTAACAAAGGACTTGGAGCTCACTTCATTGTGGAAGGTTGTTTTAATAATCTGTTCATTGGGTGATCACAGTACATACGTGTCTGCTCTACAAGACCCTGATGACAGGTTCAGTCCCAACACATTGGTCATATTTTAAACATTTTTGTCGTGCAAAATAAAAACATTTTAAATACTTTACCCACAATGTCCTTTGGGTGTTTTCTTAAACAAATATGTACTTCAAATGTACTTGTTTGCAACTTGAAAAACAAGATTGTGCCAGTCGTGGCTAGCCATCTCGCATGTATTCTCTGCTTGTTTTTTGCTGTTTGTTTGATTTTTGGTATTTTCTGCTGTGATGCATCTGTGACCGCACAACTCTTCTCAGCCTCCATCAAGTTAAGTTGCCAGTATCTGGTTTTAGAAATTATTCATCAAGTTTACCTCCTCATCTGTCAAACATAAATTTTTTAATCACTTCTTGGTCTGCTGCCTTCATACATCTCCTCCTACATGTCTCTGTGTGAGTGCAGCTACAGCGTGCGCTCTCAGGACATCATTACCTGCAGTGTTCCCTCAGTGAGGACTGAACTAGACAAAAGGACCTTCTCCTACTCTGCTCTTGTTTCCTTGAATATCTTGTAAAAACATCTGAAACTTTTGACCTTGACCTCTCTAAAAAGTGGCTTCAAACATCTGATAAATTCATGTCTGAACCTCATATGTTCTTTTTGAAGAAACCAGGTGTCTCTTGTAAATGAGTCCTCGAGGCTCACTGAGACTAACCTGTAGAAATAAAGGTTGAATGAATGAATGAATGACTCACCAGCATAAAGCCAAGTGTCAGTCAAGAACATAAAATCCAGTTTTTGGGAGGTACAAAAAGTTATTCAGAATAAAATCCGGATTTTTATTAGGGACCTAGCGTTCAGCAAGGCTGCTTGGAGAGCCTGATCCTTGCTGTTTGCAGCAGGTGCACGGGCCAGCTGGAGAAGAATCCTGAAGTTTGTGCCACGACTGGGAATCATTTTCCACTGCCAGCACGAGGAATAGTCAAGGCCGGATTAACCATGTGGGCAACAGGACAACTGCCCAGGGGCCCATGATCTCTAAGGGGCCCAGGGCAGTGAGGGCACAAGCAAAGTATCTGGTTATCTCCTGCTTTATTGGAGCCCTGCGCTGCACAGAGACACTGCTGCGCTTCCACTGCATTTGTGCAGCCCCGCCTCCTCCCAGCTGCTGCAGCTCTCCGTTTTTTTTCCCAATCGGATCCTCGACCTGTCAATCAACTCAGAAGGCGTGTCAGTAACGGACCAATCGACGACCTCAATTTGTCCTGAAGGTAAACGCCCCTTACCTGCTGACAAGCTCATCAGTTTTTTTTTCCTTGAGAAACTTTTTGTTTTAATTAAAGCAATAAGTTTGTATCTGTTGTGAGATGATTCTAGCAGTTTTGCAGATTTTTAATCTACTTAATGAAGAATATTATGACCTAAAATCGTTCATCAAACAGGAAGGAGGACTTATTATCCCTCCTCTTACTACAGTGAACGTGGTACTTTGCTATAAGTACAACTATATTTATGGCCTCAGAGAAAGCTGAGCTTCAGTTATCCACATAAAGTAAAATGACATCAGCATGAAAAGAATGAGATGAATCCAGTTTCTGATGTCTGACCAAACACTTTGTATTGACATTCAAATAAAAATTGCTCGAGGGATTCATCTTGTGATTTACAAAAGACACAAAAATCAACCTCAAATTGAAATCTTGGTTGCAGAAACATGGCTACAGGATGTATCTTATTTATTATTTTAAAATGATTCTCCTTCACTTTAGGAGATTTAGGCCATTTGACAAATTTAGAATGAGCAGAAATCATTCTGGTTTTATGATTTATACTGGGAGGTTTCTTGAAGGAATCTGTTTTACTCAGTAAATCCTTTGTCTCAAACATTCATTGATCATCTTATTGCATTTGAAATCAACTAAGTTACAGATATTTCATTTTAATGTGGGCATCTAATCGTCACCTTTGAATATATAATATTTTTAATTTATTGAATCAGCTGTTGGTCAGGTTACTTCTTGTTGTGCCATTAGCTCTAAAATAGTTACTGAATCAAGTGTTTACTTCCATCCATCCGGGGGGTACAGCCTAAGTGGGGAGGCCCAGACTTCCCTCTCACTTGGACCAGCTCCTCCAGGAGAATCCCAAGGAGTTCCAAGTGTTTTCTTATGTAGGTAAAACTAGATGTTAAACAACCGTTAAAATACTTCAGAATGCAGGAAATGGCATCTACTTTATTCAAAATTTTCTGGGGGAGGACACCCAGACCCCCCATCAGTGTGTCCCCCACACACATTATAAATGCTTCTGACACCAGTGGCCAACACGTTACTGAACAAGTTCACATGTGGTGTCGTGTGGTGTTCAAAGTGCGTTCAACTTAATTCAGTCTTGATGGTTTGTGTCAATGAGCATTTGGAGTTTTATAAATAAAAATACACTTGATAGTTAGAATTTAAGTATATTTACTGTGTATTATGGTAATTTAATCTGTATTTTGCCAGATTATGGTGATTCTGGGGTCGTGATGATGGGGCCCTTGAAGATTGTTGCCCAGGGTACAGCGAAGTGTTAATCTGGCCCTGGGAATAGTGTAGATCCAAATAATGGGATGGCGTCACAGATTTTAATTCAATTCAAAATTCAAAAATACTTTTATTAATCCCAAAGGGAAATTATTTGTTGTTGCCACTCGTTATCCTCATTTCATTAAGAGATGTTATAGATGCTGATGCTGTAGACAGGAAGGATCTCTTGTAAAGGTCCATCCCACAGTGGATCCTAAGAAACTGGCTGCAGATGCCGTCCGATCCGTCCACCCAGACTCAGCTGGCCTCTCGGTTCCTCTGGGCTGTAGGAGCGCCTGAATACTGGACAGAACTCCTCCCAGAGCGATGGCCACTCCTCCCAGCAGTCTGTCGAGCTCCTCGTCACTGCAGATAGCCAACTGTAGGTGCCGAGGGAGATCCTGTCCTTCCGCTGTCATGAGCCGTGTTTCCTGCTAGTTCCAGGATCTCAGTGGTCAGGCACTCTAGCACAGCTGGCAGGTAGATGAGAATGCGTCCACAGAACATCCTTTTCAACTCAGCATCCGATTTGGGGCTGTAGTTGAGATAATATTTGAGCTTTTGAGATGTTAATCAGCTGCTGTTGGTTGTAGAAAACTGCCTTGTTGCCATGGTTACGCATCATAACAAATGTCCAAAACTAAAAAAGTTTCAGTAAAAATCCTTCCAGCTGCACAGCATCTGATACCAGAGGAAACAATCATCCAAAAAATGTGATTTACATCCAGAAAAAGAGGAATTAAAGTTTCCAAAAGTAAAATCTCAGAATGAAAGCAACAGAGCTGCTCCAACATGCAGACACCTGGAGCGGCGCAATTCTAGAACATTTAACCATTTATTTAACTTATTTATTATTATTATTTAATTTATTTAATTTATTTATTTAACCAAGCGATGTCTCCATTCATACAGATTGTTACTCATTTGAAAGTGAGAGCAACCAGAATTGTTGCCAGATGAGCTCATGTATCCTTTGATTCACACCAAATGTCCTCCCCGCTTTCCACGTCTCCTCTGGCATCTCTGAGTTGAAAAGTCCAGGGCGCACAGCACAGATAGTCTGGTATTCATGCAATCTTTATTTCTACAGGTTAATCCCATTGAGCCTCGGGGACTCATTTATAAGAGAGACCTGGTTTCTTAACAAAGAGTGATGACAACAGTGGAAAACAACAACAGACAGTCACAAAAGAGGATACAAATTATTATTATTATTATTATTATTATTATTATTATTATTATTATTATTATTATTATTATTATTATTATTATTATCCATCCATCCATCCATTCATTATCTTTACCCGTTTATTCCATTTTGGGTCACGGGGGTCGCCGGTGCCCATGTCCAGCAGTCACTGTGCGAGGGGCGGGGGACACCCTGGACAGGTCTCCAGTCCATCAGAGGGACACATAGAGACAAACGAGACAAACAACCATTCACTCTCTCACTCACACCTAGGGACAATTCAGAGTTACCAATCAGCCTAACATGCATGTTTTTGGACTGTGGGAGGAAACCGGAGCACCCGGAGAAAACCCACGCATGCACGGAGAGAACATGCAAACTCCACCCAGAAAGGCCCCTGGACCGGGATTTGAACCAGGGACCTGCTCGCTGAGAGGCAGCAGCTCTACCAGTTGCACCACCGTGCTGCCTGGTAAATGTCCCTATAATGACAAATTCAAAAAGGTACAAGACAAAAACAACTTTGCTTTATTTATTATACTTTATTGTTTTTTTTCTTTAACTTTTTC